TTAGGGCACTAAGGGCTTCAATCGCTGAAACTTTCAGCTTGATCGGAGAAGGTCACTGTATGAGTGGGAGATTCCTGGTGGAACTACCCATATCTGTTTCTTGTTTGTTAAGCCTTTCCGGGCAACTGGTACATATATGTACCACTATTTTGTTTTTGGTCACAAAACTGCAACAAATTAGAAGAAACGTCAAAAATAGATCAGACCGATGTAGTTTTTCATGAGGAATCTAAATATGTCGTTTTTATAAGTCCGAAGAAGTATAAAAACCCTTTAACACTAGAAAAACCATTAAAAGATGATTTTTTTAAAAATTTTTCAAGAAAATGGATCGTTCATCACTTTGGAAAAACATTGAAACTTTCGCCAAAAACCTTTCGAAAAAATATAAAAACTGGTATATTCTTACTCAACTCGACGAGCTCTATCGAGCCATGTATAAATAAATGAAAAAAATTTGCTGCACTTTTGCATTTCTGACATCTTACTCATCTTGCTAAACATAGCTGTGCAGTACGAAAAATATTTTATTATAATTGATCTGACCCTCGCGCAAGATAATTTGCACCCGAATCTATCTGACAACACTGTGAATATCAGCAAAAATAAAGCATTCAAAATTTGGCTCGGAAAGGGTTAATTACAGAGAATACTCTTGTAAAGATTTAGAAGCATAAATACGTCTGAGAAGGTCATTTATATATATCCGTATCTATATTTATTACCTTAACAGTCGGCTCTATCCATCACGTTTTTATTACTTACAGAGTTGTTTTCTGTACGCGCGCCAGCCACTACAAACTAGAACTAATTTAAACATAAGTGAACAAAATATTCTTTTATTTCTTTATAAACTGTTTTTTATCATACATTTAACAGTTTCAATACTTTGTTTTACACTTTTTATATGAGGATGAGTTGGAGGTAATGCACGTTGGAAAATGTCCAGAGCACGTTCCAAATATGAAAGTGCTCTTGTATAGTCGTTCATATTGTAATACACCTTAGAGATGTTGTTGTATGACTGCGCAAAATCAGGATGATTTGAAGGAAGAGTTTTTTGTCGAATTTCAAGCGTTTTTTCGTAAAATGAAAGTGCTTTTGAGTACTCTCCCATTCCGCCATACACGCTACCGATGTTGTTGTATGAAGTAGCTAATGACGGATGATTTGCAGGAAGACCTTGTTGATAGATTTCAAGTGCTTTTTGGTAAAATGAAAGTGCTTTCGAGTACTCTCCCATCTTGTGATGCACCATGCCGATGTTGTTGTGTGAAGTAGCCAATGAAGGATGATCTGAAGGAAGACTTTTTTGTCGAATTTCAAGTGCTTTTTTGTAGAATGAAAGTACTTTTAAGTACTCTCCCATCTTGTGATACACACTACCGATATTATTGTGTGAAGTAGCCAATAAAGGATGATTTGAAGGAAGAGCTTTTTGTTCAATTTCAAGTGCTTTTTCGTAGAATGAAAGTGCTTTCGAGTACTCTGCCATCTTGTGATAAACACTACCGATATTATTGTATGAAGTAGCCAATAAAGGATGATTTGAAGGAAGAGTTTTTTGTTCATTTTCAAGTGCTTTTTCGTAGTATGAAAGTGCGTTCGAGTACTCTCCCATCTTGTGATACACACTACCGATGTTGTTGTACGAAGTAGCTAATTCAGGATTATTTGAAGGAAGATTTTTTTGTTTAATTTCGAGTCCTTGTTCGTAATACCAAATTGCCTTTTCATAACTACCTTGATTCGAATGGACAAATCCCAGTTGATGATAATAAAGCGCTTTTTCACCCTCATTAGATGTCTGTTCGAGTAGTACACTATAAAGTTCTTCAGCTTTATTAAATTTGCCAGTTTTAAGCAATAAATTACCTAATCTTTTCCATCCAGTACTGCCACTAGCTTCCTCTCGTATCCGATCAGTAAGTACTCGTAGTTGTTGATCATCATCCGATGTTAATTTCAATTCAACTTGATAAAGCTGATTCTTATTGTCCATTTGTTTAATTGCACTCACTCGAAAGACGGTGTGCATTGAGAAGAGAATTTCTTCTTCTTCTTTAAAATAACTCTCTTCTTTGATGGAGGCATATGGTGTTGATTTAATACAAGGATCAATGGACATTATAAAAAGAATGCCTACCTTATTTAGTTCTGTAGAAGCACGTCCAGCAAATTCGAGAGACAGTTCCTTATCTGTACTGGTGGACAAGAAATTGTTAAATGACATAAGTCCACCTTTTGCTTTCTGAAGTTTTTTAAGGTCTGATTTCATAAGACGCTGTCCTCGATAAACTAAAAAAGGCTTTCTTCCGTAATTATTGATCTGTTGTTCGTATAACAGTTGTATTTGTTGATGCAGATGACATATAAAAAAACCCATAGTAATAATTACATCAGCGTCGAGTGTTCGAAGAGCATAATTGAGCATAGAATAAATATTGGATGGGAAACTGTACCACCAAATAGCTGACTGAGCATCGTATTCTTTCCCAAAACGTTTAGTGTTGATTGGTGATAAGCTGTTATTATTTCGACAATAAGCAGCAAATTGTTGAACCGCCTGTTCATCATGTTTGATATCAAGAAGAATTTCCTTGAATAGCTGTGTATACATAAAAGTCGGCTCCAACTGATTTAAATCCTCGGTTGAAGCCATTTCCTGTACTGTGATAAAACTCATTGCTATTGAGTTTTGATTGCACTGCTTAATACCAATGTGTAATGCTTGATATAGATCATCGATGTTGGTATGAACGCTTTTGATTTTTTGCCATTTTTTTGTCCATTCTTCATGTAGGATTTTAATATCATTGAAGATATAAACACTATCCAAATGAGGAATATCATTGATGAGGGATATAATTTGTTGAGCGATAGTGTTCTCAACAACGAGGAAAGACTTGATGTCTTTATTGTCGGAAACAAAGTCGATGCATTCATCTCTCTGTGTAAAGACGTTGACATTGTCGACACCGGTTTCTATTTTTGTGAAAATATGTTTGTAATCTTTGTTTGTTTCGTCCATATGCTCATCTAACCATATGAGTAAATAATCTTGTACCATACGTCTCTGTCGTTGGCTTTTACTAGATACTGCTGCTGTTTCAGACGATTTAAATTTTTTTGCTGGATGCATTGCTTTCTTTCCGTGTGTAGTTTAAGAATAAAACGGCAATTGTATGAGTTTTTCAATTGAATAGGTAGAAGTGAAGGAGATGAATAAACTCGATTATTTATATGAGAATCAGAGCCATTTATCTTCATGTTTTTATGGCGTCATTGATTATTTTCTTTTATTTATTCTGAGTAGTTACAAAAGAACTTTGTCCTTTGCATTATTGCATGTACGATATAAAGCCAGGTGAAGACAAAGAACGGAAAAAAAGGATTCATTTTTTTCAACTTTCTTCACAGATATGAGATACAATCATCACTAACAGAAAGAAACACATATTTTCTTTGTAAATAAAACACTTTAAAAGTCTCGCAGTATTTTCTTTTTTGTTTAAATCGTATATTGAAATTACACAAGAATATAAATAAAATGGTCGTATTTTTTTTTGTGAACGATCAATAAAATCTACTGAATCTAGTACACATATTAACAGTAAAAAGAGTAAATAATAATTAATATGAAAGTCATTGTTCGATAAATGAACAATTTATTCAATATTAGAATCATAATTAAAAGTAGCATAATTACTTGCTGTTACTGGAAAATACTCTGAAATTCTTATCATGCAGCGTTCAACAGAAGAGAACAAATAAGTACATGCAAAGTTCACATCCCATTATTGAAATCCAAATTGAAATACTGAGATATGAGATATTGAAAATGAAAATCAGTCATTTTAGGATTATTTTCTCTAAGAAAAGTCTGAATTAAAAAAGAATAAGATTTAGTGTAATTTCTATTTCTACCACATCATATTGAGTTATTCAAAAGTTTGAAAATTTATGATGAAACACGTTGAGTTTTGAACATTTTACTCGAATATATTTATAAATATGTGTTGAAAGTGAATTTATGTAAAATAAAACTATATTATTGCAATCATAGGATTTTCTTTCTATCATTTATATTTCATCATAATGAAGAATTCAATCCTAAACTAGTTACTCATGAATTAGCAACATATTGGCAGAGACAACTACGTTCCTTATAGTGTTGAATTTCGATTATAATTAATTGAGTGAAACTCGAATTCTATCTAGTTTTAATAATACATGAGAACAGAAACTTGTTCTTTGATAGCATTGAATGCTTGAATGATCTGTCTAAATATCATAACATCATTTGTATTTATTTTTAATTTCATCTTGCATCACAAAAGAATTCTGATAAACATACATATTTTCTTATTTCTGATAAATCTAATCACATCCTGAAAGAAAATTTATGGTTATCATATAAAACATATGGACAGCAATGATCGACAGTTCTTTTTTTTCTTTTCTCCTCCCTATTTTTTTATTGTTGTTCATGCAGAATGTTATGTATTACACAACAAAAGAAAGGACAGTTATGATATAATCTATCTTTAGTTGTTTGTTCATCATAATAAAACAACAAAGTGCAATTATTGAATGACCTTGACATATGATTTTTATTTTTATTTTAGTTTTGTAAAATCAATATGTTAACCATCAATCATTGTTAAACAACGATCATACGCACAATTAGTCAATTGTATATACAAAGTGTTGTTATATGTTTATACTAATAAGACAAAGTTAAGAAAGAATATATATATATATATAAACTATTCATTTTGATGTTTTTACTAAAAATGATTATGAAACGTGTTTGTACTTTTATGTAAGGGTCAGTTTACTTTATATGTTTATATATACATATCTATCTATATGTATATATTGATGCCTGTAGGAAAAAGAAAATAAAAAAACATTGTTCAGTGGTGCTTGCATGCAAAAAAGAAAAGCGTTACTGTAATGATAATGTAAACTGAGAAGAAAGATCTCTGCTTGATCATTGTCCGATTATCAACAAATTACATCGAACAGTGAAGAAAGAGCAACATAACAGGACTAACTGTCCATCAGAATAAGAAGATGATGATGATGATGCGTATTACGTTATTAGAGTAGAATACAAAAAGAAAGATATTCTCTAAGATATCTGTAACTAATCATCATATATAGTAAATAACTTTGAGTTCATTCGAACATCAATATAATAGAAAAACAAAAAACAAAACGATGGCTCTATGTTATTCTTGTTTATTAACACTATTATTTCTATTATTAATCACACACGTATGTAACTATTATTATTTAGATTTAAGTTGCAAACAATTCCTTTTGTTTTCTTGTATTAGGAAATAAATACTGCAAATCGTCTTCGTTCTTTTTTACTTTCATCATCGAAATTGTCTCCTGATCGAAGATATTCACCATTGATTATTAAAAATGAAGTAACAACATCAGAACCTGTTCTATCACGACGACGACCCCTATTATCATCTAATGAACGAAGAAGACGCTGGACAAAGGATGACATTCTAATTGATGAAACTATTATAGAGCAATTAACTAGTGCAACTACAATTGATAATAATGCAACAGTATTAATAGACAAGTTAGATGATATATTTTTATTTAATTCAACAATCGGCATAGAACAGTTAAATTCTGAAGAAAATTCTACTATAATAGATATCAAATATCCATTATTACGACAAGATATACTTGAAATGAATGAAACAGATGATCTATCAACAACTTCAATTAATCAAAATATTTCAGAAAGGAATGAAACTGATCTTGAAAATAATAATGTAACTACGATTAATACCATATTCCTAACAACAACAACAGTATCAGACGTACCACTAGTAAATATTACTGATATTAATCAAGTAACATCGAATGAAACAAACGAGTTTGTTACTACTAATACAATCGATAATCTGACAACTATTACGATCATCAGTAAGTTTTATTCGATAAAATCTAAATGTTCTATATATTTATATGATTAAAGATAATGAAACAGAAACATCAACAAACCCAAATATTTTCAATCAGACTATCGAAGAATTAATAACAACGTTAAATTCTACACTATCTCTATCCGAACAAGATACATCTATTATTCTTCTTGATCATACTGCTACTCCTCGTACAACAGCATATGATAATCAAACATCAAATGATTCCGATACAACAATTATTGATGATAATATAAATGCTACGACTATTTTCAATACAATACAAAATGAAATATTGACAACTATTGTTGATGAAAATGAATATGCAAATGAAACGATTACTTTTCAGTCAGATATAGCATTAGAACCTGTATGTGATCTTGCATGTCAATGTTTAAAACAATGTCCATATGGTTTTGAACTTCTTAATGATACATGTGAATGTAATCCACCATGTAAAGTAAGTGTTAAGAGGTAGACAAAATCAAATATTCTATTTCATTTAAATAGAATTATCAATGTTTTGGTAATGATACGTGTATTGTAACAAAAGAAGGACGTCCTGTATGTGAACCAGAAAATGGTACTGAACATGGTAAGTTTAATTTTCGATAGCAAAAAAAATATATTGATTCTAATTAATTAATTAGATCGTCCAAAACGTTGTTATCAACCACGATATGAAGGTTATCATGATCTTAATAATCGATATTATGATCGATATTATTATAATCCTGATCAAGATGAATGTCATTTATTGGTCTATCGTGGTATGGGTGGAAATGAGAATAATTTTGTAACATTAAATGAATGTCATTTAGAATGTATCAGTATGTTATTATTGTTTTTCTTTTAATTTAATTCTTCATCTCATTTATTTTTAGCTTGTGGACCCGCACCAAATCCAGGCGAATGTTTAGGTCGTCTTCCTATGTGGTATTATGATCATAAAAAGAATCAATGTTCACAATTTGATTATACAGGTTGTAAAGGTAATGAAAATCAATTTTTTCAAAAACAAAAATGTATTGATACATGTGTTACTCGAATACTTAATCTATAAAAATAACCGATATATTGTCTGTTTTCATATTAATTAGCTTTTTGTTTTCTAATATTTCATTTGTGCTTGTGTGTTTATTCAATTTACATGATTTTTTGTTTGTTAAACAAACAATATGAAAAAAGAGAACAAAAATAAACATTATCAAAATTTTATTTCCTGAGACTAATCATGAGT